AAACTGCCATAGTCAACATTTACTCCAAACTAGGCATAGAGAACATTTGATTTCTACTTAATTCTGTTATAATATCAACTGTATCATAGTGCTGTATCCCCCACCCCTCCCCCAAGCATAATGAAGACCATATCTAGTTCTTAAAGAAATTAAAGGATTGTTGCAGGGATTACTGAGAAACAGCCTGGTTCAATTTAGATAAGAAGTAATATTTTACCACCAGTATGTCATTTTGGACTGTTAACTCCATTTGACAGATGAAAAAGAGGAAGCATCATGCTGCCTCTGAACTCAGAAGGTGGAAGACTTGTAGTTCACACACTTTAACTACAATCCTGTTTGATCAAAATTTAAAATAAAGATTTTATACATTCTATCATAACCTAGAGTGGAAAATAGAAGTGCCTAGTTCTCACAGTATGACTCTCAGTCACTTTCTACTAAGCGAGTCTCCTAAACTCTGTACCTCAAAAAATATTTTGCTAGTAGCTCCTTACTGAGTATGGGCACAATGAATTTTGCACTTCTTATTTAGAGATTTTGGTACTTAGAGATTATGACTATTAACATACATCTTAATAAAGATAGCACTGAGTGAAGTAAACACTTTGCATCGGTTGCTCAGGGAAAACTGGGAAGGAAACTCTGGCATACAGAAAAATACAAAAGAGCCTGCGTGGACAGGCTGAACTCTAATCTTCAAGGTCTTTTGTAACCTAGACAATTCTATGATTTTATGTCATACAGCACTCCTGGGAGAGATCACGCTTTTTTTCTTCTGCTTTTTATTATGTCTCTTTTTCTTTCTTTGGTTTGATAATATAATTTCCAAAAAAATCCAGTATACAGTATACCCCACTCATACTGAGGATCCTAGTACTGTTTGCAGTTCTGGGGTCCCAAGGCAGGAAAGAATGTGGACCTGTTGGTACGGGTCCAAAGCAGGGTCACAAAAGTGATCAGAGGGCTGCAGTACCTCTCCTGTGAAGACAGGCTGAGAGAGTTGGGATTGCTTAGCTTAGGGAAGAAAAGGTTCTGGGGAGACCTTAAAAGAGCCTTCCAGTACCTAAAACGGGCCTGGTTTTCAAAACAGATGAAGAAGTCTTTCTACTATGGCCTGTAGTGACAGGAGAAGAGTCAACAGCTCTAAAACTCAAAAGACGGTAGGTTTAGACTGGATATAATCACAGAATTGTTTAGGCTGGAAGTGACCTTTAAGATCACCAGGTTCCAAACCCCTGACACGGGCAGAGACACCCTCCACCAGATCAGGCTGCTCAAAGCCCTATAACGAAAATATTTGCTACAATGAGGGTAATAAGGCTACCCACAGGTTGCTCTGAGAAGCTGTGGATGCCCCATCCCTGGAGGTGTTCAAGGCCAGGTCAGACAGAGCTCTGACAACCTGGTCTATTGAAAGGTGCCCCTGCCCATGGCCAGGGGTTTGAACTAGATGATCTTTAATGGTCCATTTCAACCCAAATCATTCTATGATTCTGTATTCCACTATTTTAGCATATATTTATTATATATTTCAATAAAGTACTTTGGAGAAAAGCCACAGGCTAAAAGAATCTCAAAAGCAATGACAGATTGAGACCTCATTCCTACATGGGAGCTGAGGCAAAGCAGGCACACTCTTAGATCTAATAACGTACACCTTGCCAGACACCAGATGGCCTGTCCACGATCAGCCAGGAAAAACGTATTGTGCAGAGGATTTAAATAAGGCCCCCCCAGATTGCAGACCTACAACCCCTGTCACCAGATAAATATCAGTGTTGTTTCAACCAGAAAAGACTGAAACAGACACGTGGGCAAATTGTCCACTGTGTCAAGGTTCACAGGCACATCTTGTTTTCTTTTATTCAAAAGTCATTTTGACATGGAAAAATGGAGAAAGATATCGCTTTTTCCCAAATCATAGAAACAATTTTGTCTTCCTACATCAACAGAATGGTACAGCAAGGCAAGACAACCAAGACATTTGCATGAAAATGCATTTTTCTCAAGCTTTAGTTTTACATGCTCATCCTTCACAGAAGTCCAGCATAAATTCCCACAGGGAAAATTTTGAGCTGTTAAAAGATTTACAGATGTCATGTTTCACAGGGAAAGGCCTGTGATTCAACACGGGACAGGACACGCCTACAGCATTTTCAGCCAACCTGTGTCAGTGGCTAAAACCAGCAGTTTTATTTTTGGTTATTTTTCCCCATTCACTGCAGTGAGTAAGAGGGAACTCCCACTGATAAACGAAAGTACAGCAATAGTTACAATCTTAATGTGAAAGGTTTAAATTTTTACCATCAACTGTAACCAGCATTATTAAAAACATGATCACAGTTGACCCTTCTCTATGTAATACCAGTAACATGACAGTTAAAATGCAAATATAGCATCAAGACCACAGAATCATGCCAACAGACATGCTAAATAATTTTTTAAAATTCATATGTTTTCAATAAAAGCACTAACAAGGACAGTTTTATCTAAGTTAATAGTCTGCTGTACTAGAAAACTATGGCCAATATCTACCATGATGATTCAATCAGATAAAATCCTATCAAGCCCTCCCCTTGCAAATGGTGAAACTATATAGATAAACCATGATGACTATCAAATTCTCCAGATGTGGCCATTTAAAAGTGATTAAAGTTCCACAGTTGATGCTGAGTCTTGGACACTTTCTTTTATGGTTGTCCCTACAGCATCTTTAATAAGACTAAGTAATTATAGTAACATTAAATAAAAATGGGCTTTTATAACTATCACCAAAGAGCAGTAACTCCTGTTGTTGATATATATATATTTATATATTAAAAGGAGAAAACCAGAATTAATTCAAAGCAGCCTGTATTGGACCTTACTTTAAATACATCAAACAAGACATGGAAGAGTATGGAAAACAGTATGAAAACATTCTAGCAACAGTCTTGCAGAAGTAGAGGCTTGGAGGAAAGGAGATGGGGATTGAAATATCAAGAAGGTCTGGTAAGTGAATATGAGCAAGTAAATGATAGCTTGATGAATGAAGTCTATCACTAGATAGAGATTCCTTTAGAGGAATAAGTCCATGTGCATGTCCACAACCCTGACCTGGCAAAACACCCAAACAGTTGATAACAGGTTCGTTTGTCTTAGCAGTGGCTAAAAAGTGTCTCCTCACATGTCTGAATGCAGCAAAAAAAGAAATCAGGCATGCCACAATCCTGAGTTAAGGAATACCTTCCCTTCTTGGGAACAAGAGAGAAAAGACCAGACTGGAAATCACATCTCAAAACAAACCTGTTTCCAACTCCAAGGAGTTCCCAGACACAGGTGTCTCTCCAGGGCTCAGTTGCTGAAAAGCCTCAGATTCCCTTGCTTGTCATATTCACAATGACAAATTGCAGAGAAACACCATCCAACTTGGCAAATGATGTAGTCTCTCAGATACCCAAAGCAATCCTAGCTGCCACACTATTTTGAAAGAAATGCAGTCTGAACACTTTTTTTAGCAGTTGTTCTTTAGAAAAATAAAGATGATTCATAGGGACATTTGACAGGAATAATCTTGTACCGCAAGTCATGAAGCATTTGAAGACTGTTGGAGAGAACAATGCCATAGAAATCTTCTTAAAAACAAAAGACAAACCAGTGGCAAACATTTAGGAAAGACAGAGGATAGATGCTTTCTAAGAAGAAAAGAAATGAAAGCTCTTTAAGCAGAGGAGCTTGATCTGACTCTACCAAGCAGCTAGAACCAACTACAAGAAGGAATACTCAGCTCTACAACTGCAGGCAAAGCACGTGTTTTGGCAGTACCCATCTGCATACTGGGGTAAAACAGTTCTTGTTAAGGGGCTTGTACACAGACGCAATATCGATCTACACAAACAATCCAGCTACAGATGTGTGATCTTTGCTTTTTCTCTGAGGTTTTTCATATTCACAGTAGACGCCTCCAAGGAGAGCATGCTCCAATTTGAAGAAGGTGAAGCAGTAGCACTTGATGAAAAATGAACTACCCATTTCTCTCATGGTGTACACTGGATTTTTGCTTTGCCACCGAGTTCTTCTTCCAAAGGAGAAGACACTCATACAAGAGAAAATTCACAGATCCCAGGATGATTCCAAAGACCTAAAGAGTCAACTAATTATGGATTTTCTCTTGGTTATTTTTAGGGGTGTGGGCTTAATATCCCTGAGAACTTGATGATATGCATGCAGTGCTTCCCCAAACAAAGGAGGAAGATACTTATGAACACCTGAAATTGTATTGAACCTTAAGCCATGATATATGTCTGGCAGTGGGCTACAGAAGGGCCATGAAAAATAAAGGACAAAATCAAAGAAATCAGACAGGCAACAGATTAAAGACAGGTAGCTGCTAAGACATGAGAAGAGCTATAACTTAATCTGTTGTAAAGTAAGAAGTCACAGCAATACGACTGTGGGACCAAAGAAGCCCATAGTTGCAAGTCTTTAGGTAAAAGCATTTTTTCAATATAAGCATGTCCTTGCATACATGCTCAGCAGTCTTTGATCTTTTTTAATAGAAGTTTCAAAAGTAGGACAAAATTGGCCTGCTATTTATCAGTCTGTCATTGAGAAAGTGGTAAGAAGATTGTGTAGTGCTTTGATGAAGCAAACCTACAGCCTTGCAGGACAAGTGACAAATCTATTCTTTCTCCCTTCATGAAGTTACAGAACATCAAAACAAGTTATTGTTGGCATGAGAAGGTTGACATTTCACTTGACATTTCAAGTTGATGCTTATTTGAGCAGATATCTTCTGAAAACATCTTGATAAAAGAAACATTTCAAAGCTCTAACAAAGGGTCCTAAATGGTGCCAGACCTGCAAAGAAGCAAGCTTTAAAGATTCATACTCTAAGAATTTGGTTGTTTTGGACAACTGACTCCTGTAATTAGTTTGAAAACAGCTGAGAAAACAAAATTCTAGAAAGGTCTTCACAGAATACCTTGAATTTCACAGACATCTTCCAGTCTCCTTACCTCTTGTCCTGAAAGGTAGTATGCTGCTAGAAGACCGCCAATGAAGCGAATATTAACCTCAAATACAGACACTTCAGAATTCTAGAACAGAAAGAAACAATAAATAACAACCAATTTCTTATTCAAAGGAAGAAAATAATCAAGGCAGAGGCAAGTAGATATCCTAAACCAACCTACATGCAAGGGTCTGTACTGTTTCAGTTTCTAGATCCATACTGAAATTCTTGTGCACATCTTCATTACATCAAATGATAATTCTAATTACAGTTTCAAGTGATTTTTTTTTAAAATCAACTTAGTTTTTCTCCTGCCCTCTACTCATACTATCACCACAAAGTGCAATTACAGTAATTTGGGGATGGTGGGAAAGAAGGCAAGGACCATACATTTCCATAATTCAGCATCTTTTCTCTTATGTTTAAGCATAACACCAGATCTTCTAGATTTACAGGATAAAGCAGAATAATAATTACAGAATTCTCATAATGCACTTTCTTGACCTGAATTACTAATGAGCAATTTAAAATTCAGAGCTCCATTTTAACAGTTTCTGTCTAGGAACAGCCTTTATGTATTTAATGTTATGACAAGAAATACTGCAAGACCACCGAGAAACTCAAGAGAACAAACCATTTTATTGCCTTCCTCCACATTAATATCCTCAGGCTAAATTCAACAGTATCTTCTGACTCATTTAATGACAGAAAAATTAAGAGGAACCAGGTAGTTTTAATATCTTTCTGACTCCCTCTGTGCCTCATTCACTCATTTGCCCGCATACACTCCATCTGTCTCCCCCATAAACTTCTCTTCAACCCACTAGACACAGAAATGCAGTTTTATTAAGAGATTTTGAGATGGGGCAGACTTTTCCTTTCATCCAGAAAAGTCACTAGAATGTACACTGTGCAAGCTGACTCACCAATTCACACACAGATGAAATATATCCATAGGTATGTCTTTCCTTTCATGCTATTTCCAGGGCACCTCTAGTCATATCATGCATTTTGCTTGTGTCCAAACTCAATGCATTTTGCATGTACTACTTATTTCAGAAAGATTATATGAGTACTTTAAAGATTTCCTCAAATAGCACTGATGATTAAAAGCCTGAAGTTTGAAATACTCCCAAATATGGGTTTTTAGTAAAGGTTGTTCTTTTTTCATATACAAGTGATACAAGAAAAATAACACCAGTGCAGCACATGATTCCACTTAATAGCTATTAAAGTCATGAATCACACATGCAATGGTACAGTGTAAAATGAAACAAAATATTTCCATTTCCAAGTAAAAGAATCCAAGAGGAACAAATTTACATATTTATAAACTTCAAACCATATAAGGAAATTACTCAAGTCTACTGTATACACAGGACAACTCATTAACCTTCAGAGATAGTTTCTCATACATAGGAAGATGTAATTGAACCCTAGTGGGTCATGTAAATTTCTTCAATCCAAATCCTAGATTAATTCAGCAAATTTATATTGAAATTGCCTTAGATCAGAAAAAAGTTAAGTAATTTAGTTCATCCTCATAATGGTATCATTATGTCTACACTGTCTCTGATATATTTAGGATCTTCAGTTTTAGACTGAATAATTATCTGGCACTAACTGAAAAAGCAAAGTAAAATTTCTTTAACATTTGCCAGACAGTTGATGTATAAAAGAAAAGGAAAAAGCTGAAACAAATAATTTCTGAAAAACAGGATAAGATATAAAAACAACAGTAAGCATTTGCTGAATTCTGAGTGTATATCTACATTTAATTATGTGCATTTATTGAATGAAAAATTATTTTTGGAACCATAGGGCAAATCCAAGGACTGAAATAAAAATTCCATCACAGAGTCTGTGACAGTCCCAAAATTAGTAATAAGAACACTAATCAATAAGACTAAAATAGAGCCATTTCTTCCATGTAATGTTTCCAAACTCTGCATACATGAAGAATGTCAGATGCTGTATGACCGACTGGGAAATTCTTGTGATAGAAAAGGAAAACTCAACAACTCAGGTGGCATTTTTTGTGTTAAAACGCTTAAGGACATTGATGAAGAAGAATAGATTGTATTCTTAAGTAATTTACACACTGGCTTGGAGGAAATTTGGTTTTCATAGCTCAGTTATTTGCAACTACTATCAGCTAGTAAAACTTCACCTTTCTGCCTTCATTTCTGAGGCCCTGTTGGTTCTCACAGAACACTTTCTTCCATTATCCAATTATAATTCACACTTTGAAAACACAATATATAGACATTACTTTACTTACAGTTGTAAGTGCAAAAGGGTTGAGGTACATTTTTTTCCCAAAATAAAGTTAGATACATAGAGAACTCAGTTAAAGCTTAGATACGACACTTTGATTCATATGTTTTTTAAGTTTCAGTTGAAAGACCTCTTCTGTCTCCCCCAAGGGGGACACTAAAAAGGACTAGAGAAACATTAGGGTAAGCTTTACTCACCACACTGAAATCAAGATTTTTGTCAATCCATTCTTGACCTTCTCTGAATTCATCATGAAGCCCCATGATATAAAGAGTATCCAATGCATCTACTATGGTAGCACCCATTTGCGAGTTTCCTACATGCAAAAAGAAGAACTTATATTACAAGTGATTATTTCATTACTTTTCTTAAACATCACAAACGTGACAAAATAATAGAAGCAGTAGCAAAGCAAAGTTACTACAAAGATGTCAGCACAAAGAATAATCAAAACGAGCATGGAATTATCAGGTACATAAGAAGATTCCCATTTCTCTTTCAACGCACCACTCTGGAACAGTTTGGCTTTTGGGGAGAAAAGAAGACTAAAGATAGAAAAATAGGCCTTCTCATCTGCTTTCCTAACCTGAACTTGAGCAACTGTAGTTCGACACAAAAAAAAAAGGGACAGAAAGACATTCCGCTTCAAAAAGCTACTAGGAATTCTAGGACAAAAGCATTAGGGAAAAAAAATCATATGCAAGATAAAACGATCCATACTTGAAGTAACGTCTTGCATTTCCCAACATCTATTTCTGAAATGTTCAAAGTTTGCAATTATGGAAGCTACCTTATCATTGATAAGCATGGACTGATGAGCAGGGACGCGCTGGCTTGGATTGACTGAGAAAGCCACAGTCCCAAGACGTTCACCTCAGTTTCTCCGGGGTTCCACAACATGAGCTGCTAATGGCTTTCTCAACTGTCACCATTTCAAGTGGAGCATTGAAAGACAAATAAAAATCAATGGTGCTTTACCCTAAAACGCCATTCACTTGAAACAGCAGCAATTTAGAGCTGATTGATGAGTGACTCATCGGCTTGTACAAGGGAGACAGGACGATGAGGTAGTGAGTCATTGCCCATGTTAGCACTGGTCTCCTTGGGCCACCCCTACCTAAGCTGTTGCCCTCAGCAGGCAGAGATCGTTGTTTCTAGAGGAAAGCAAAAATTACCATCGGTTTTATTTGTTTTCATAGAGTGTATAAAATGTCCTATGCACTAAGAAAATAGCCAAATTTCACTGTTCATACCAGTAATCTTATAAACCAGTACAATTACTATGATTAGTAATTTAATGACAGTAGTGTCCTAACAAGCTAAGCCTATTTTAGGGTTTTTTCAACGTGCTTTTCCCCCGTAATGGAATCTCTAAAGAGCATTATTCCTGCATGGTATTTTCTATTCCATTTCTGACTTTCACATGGTTATTTTTTTCCCTCAAGCATAACAATAACTGAATGAAACCAACAACCCCATCCTATTTCTTTCACAAACCTAAATGACTGACACACATGCAAGCTTAACTCCACCTTCAGGGACTTCTTTCCCCAAACAATAAAAATTAAACACAACAGTATCTCATCAACTAATTTCTTAAGAAACAGTCATGCATCATTTTTAATTAATTTCAATTAGATATGGATAGCCTATAGTTAGTGATATTTTTAAGAATATTCAAGTACAGATCGTGACACACCACCTTTTGCAAGACTAATTAAAAGACATTCTCTGACAAACTGGCCACCATCCACATCTACAGCTCTGAGGATATGAATTCACCGTGGTGCATAAGTACTGTAAGGTTTAACGCCTTCAGCCACATGCCAAATTCCATTGCTTGTCCTGAAGTGGAGGTTGCTTTGAGCAGAGCTACAGCACTGCACTTAACTTCACACCTTCTCATAAGCATAATGTGACAGTTATCTAATATATCACTTCAAAAATATGCAAATCAAACCAGGATATAAGGACTACCTTCAGTACCAGCTGACAAAGTATCTTTTGACACGAAAATGGAATGTGTTGTACTGATTCCAGGACACATTCAAAGTAATTTCTGTTCCTTTATTTAAACCACGTTGATAAAACTTTCAAATACACAAAGTGTCTGAACAAATAGGGATACATACCCTTGGGAAATCCTGAAAGTTCCTCTTCTAATAGTTTCAAAAAATAAAAACCTTGTAAGTTAAACACAGTGGTAATCCATCAGTAAGCTCTCATATTATTCAACTGGCATGGGATAAGGAGAACATATTGCATGGGAATGGACTGGTATATCATTGTCTGCCATCCCACACCCGAGCCTCCCCCAAAACATTTCAAACACCACAGTAACAATCACCCACAGTTTTCTAGATCTCAGAAACACACTCCAGTGTCCGCAGTGTGAGACAGCAGTATGTTGGGCACAAGAATAACTACTTGTCAGTCCTCAAGAAAATATATTCACAAATTTAAACCACCTTTTTCAGGGAGTTCTCTGCACAGAACCATGAAAAAAGGGCCATGGAAATGCAAGAGCACATGACTACTTTTGCCATCTTACAAATGAAACAGATGCATTCAGAAAGAGCAGAACAGACCTCTCTCCAGAATTGACCAAAAGTGTCCACGGTTTCCCTAATGCATCTCATAATGACTGAACAATACGACTTCACCAAATACAGATGAGAAATTTGCTTCCATCATCACTGTGTTAAAAATGAGCCCTCAACCCCACATACAGAGATCACACCTAAACCAGTAGTCCCCAAAAGGGATTGCCTGACAACCTGTTTCATGCTGTTTACAGCTGCAGAAACAAACGTAGCCCAAAACAGTAAAACAGACTTGCTCAGTGTTTTTTGTCCCTAAGAGTCAATTAAAGGCACAGCATTGTACTCTAAACTTTTGTCCGGGACACACTCCAATAGTTTGTTGAAGCTCTCCCTCCTCCACTCTTTACACTCCTTTCTCTCATATTTTTATGTTTATATTTCCTAGAAGCACAAACATCAAACAAAACATTACTGAGCAAAGCCCCTTCTACTCACACTTTGCCTCTTCCCTGAGCAGTGACGGGTACCTCTTTCTGAGATGCAGATCAGTACTGTTATAGTTTCTAGACTCCATGTGAGAGCTCAATTGTTTTTTTAATACCATCTCTTAAGGATAGCATTTATATCCCAACCTATCATAAATAATTAGTTTTTCTTCTTTCTTATAAGTAGGGGTTTTCAACCAAATTTGGGTTATTTTTCTTTTTTCTGCATGAGTATTTCTTCCTTGAGGAAGACTCAGAAGAACAATCTTTGTTTTTTCAAACTCTTTTGATTGAACACATTTTCAAAAGGTCAAGAGATGACAAGTCAATATTTTGCAACAGATTGTCTACCCAGCCTTCTTCTTTTAGTGTCAATCAGGTAGTACAAAAACAGCTAGTTCTCTCCTCCTAGGCACTGAGGTGGAAGAGTCCAAAATGAGGCACTCACACCCAGAAGTTTTATGCTGACAAGAACAGAAGGCAGCCCTGGACTTAAGGCAACACTGAGGACAATACACATGTAACACACTGGTAGAAGGACAACTCTACTCTGGTAGAAGTACAACTTAAAACCATTTATAAGTTTGGTTAAAGAGTAAAATTAATTGCTCTAAGTTTTCTTCAAGGACTATGTGGAAAGGACGTCATTCTTAATTTGTTCCTAAATAAGAGCTTCCACTGAATTCTTCTCTATCTGCTCAGGTCTACAACCTAACCAAAACAGGCAGTGATGTCGTCATAGCTGTCTTCATCTTGAAATTCACTGCAATACCATTAGCAGTAATACCAATGCAGTAAGGCATTAGCTGAAATATAAGCAGGAAGAAACAGCAAGTGTTCAAAGATCATTGACCTGAATTAGTGTCATTTGTGGTGCCATAGGGAAAGCAGATTGCAATGGATAGGCAGCTGTACTCCCCTCTCCTGATGCTGATAGAAACCATCTTCTGAAGTCACAAAGAGAAATCACTTTCCATTCATAATAAAGGATGGTGGGAGTTTTTTTATTTCATAACCACACAAAGATCTATAAATTTTGCTGTAAACGACAAGAGTATAGCCTTCTTGGACTTAAACTGTAGAAGGTGGTCATTTGAAGAGCCATAAAGTAACCATAAAGTAACCCTAAACAACAAGATTACAGTTTAGAGGAGCATACACTGCTTGCTACCACTTCAACCAATCTGATCTATTATTGTTCCAGATACAGAGAGAGCAGATGTCTTACTGTGGTGAAAAAGGTTATAAAACAATTAAACTACAATGGAAAATAACACTCCTCCTAACTGAAGGCACTCCTCCCAGGGTCTGCCTCCGTTCAATAAAAAGGCTCGACTAGTCATGTTGCATAAGATAATAACTGATTCCAAAAAGGCTCAGTTTTACAAACGTCAGATTAGGAAGTCTCCTCTCTATATAATTATAGTTCTAGTTGATTGAGCTCCAAATTTAATGAAGTTTGCCTAATGAATGCAATGCTTATTCTTCAAAATAAAACAGAACATCCATCACAAGCTAATGGAAAGAATTTACCATGAAATAGCTGAACTACTAAGAAAATCATGCACACTCTCATTAAGCAACAGTATTATTCCAAAGGACTGCAAAACAGTAATTGAGATTTGTATTTAGGTAGAATTCTGTTTCCTCAGATAAGCCAAATAATTCCTTCACTTGATAGCACATAAATCTACAGTTTGAAATATCTAGCAAATCGTATGACTAAGTGTAAAATATCAAGCCTCTAAAAGAAAAACTATCTTCCCATCTAGAATTCTTTCAGTATGCCAAAGCACTAGATGAAGAACTGGTTTATTTGTACCATTTGAAAGCCTCACAAGAGACTATGAAAGTACAAGGGAGACAGATCATTGTCATGAGTTCTGTCACAAAAGGAATATGAAGAAAACAAATAGCCCATTTTCATTATACCATAAGTGTAGAGATTTAGAAAGTCTGATATCAGCTACAGAATTGCTTAGTGTATTTATTATGTGGAAGCAGAAGAGACTATGAGTAGTGAGGTACTAGAGAAAAAATGCAAATAAGCATAGACGAATTATGAACAGAGAAGACTGAAGATATGAGCCACAGACAAGTTAAATAAGGAACAAGACGACAAATTAAAACTCTGCATCAGCAAACTGAAGTCATGCACTTTGAGTTGAAAGGTAGTCATCAAATAGGTGCTTCACAGAAACGTTATTTGACACATCATCCATACCTACTCCTTATTCCAACATGTATACACCACACACAAATCTCATTACTTCTCCTGAAAAACACTT